ATAGAAAAGGAAAAAGTTAGTGGGACTGGTCTTTAACAAATTTCACTACTGGTTTTCAGGTCTGATGGCTCTCAATAATTTTCGTTGACAAAAAAAGTGATTGTTACCTCTGCAGATATTGAGTTTACATGGAACGCTATCGGGTTAGCCCTTTCTTGCCACAAACAGCACAGTCAAGTGAAACTACTATCACGCTATGGGAAATCATTGATGACAGAAGAAACGAACCTATTTTGGTTCCTCTCAGTAGATTCTAGACACGATCCATTTCTGAATTTCTGTGGCTCATTTTCGCAAAGCCTCAACTTGCAATTCATTATGTACAATCCGTTATTGCAACACCTATTCCACTTACTTCAACATGTCAGTAGTAATTTTGCTAATCAAAAGAAACTCAACACATTTGTAGATGATGATGAAGCCATCACAAGATACTGCAGTCTCTTTGTAAATAAAGCTCATTTCAGTGGCATTCTCGTTTATTTCTCCATTCCACGTATACTCCGGCTTTATGAAAATGTGTGTCTTTATTTTTTTCACGCCATGACAATATTGTCTTGAGCACAGACTCAAAGAAGAAAAGAAAAAAAAAGAAAAAAAGAAGAAAAAATTAAACACTAAACACTAAATATAATGCAATGACATTTACGCATATCCTGAAGTCCAATCTATCTCTTGGATAACACCATCACGAAATTAACCTTCAACCGTTGTATTACACCAAAAACAAATCGGCTGAACAGACACAGGCTATGGCTCTGAATATGGCCATTCATATTGCCGAAACAAGTAATAAGTGCTATGTGTATGGACACCTAAGCGAGCCATTTTCAAAGCTATCCTTTTGTCCATTATCAGGTATTAGGTACTATGCACTAATGAATAACAATGAAAACAGGAAGTGAATTTGAACTGGCCCATTATTTTCACTTGTTAAACCATACATGGCCCTTTTGAACTTACCAAACGCCAAAATGAAAAGGTAAATTGCAAGTAGGTTAAGCGCCATTTCAGTTATGTTTATTGAGATTATAACACTATTGAAAGTGTTAAAAAATTCCAAAGTACTCCATGACCAGCCTCAATTCAAATACTTATTGACTTTGTGCTCAATGAACATAATAAATATTCCCATGACTTTATATATGCTGAGAAACCCACAAGAGCTAAGATGACTTGATGAACTTTTAAAGCTGTCGTTCTCTTCTTTAAATGCTTGTAGAAATAGATCATGAATAATGAAAAATATCCTCAAAAGTTTTTATTTTTGTTCGGACAAAACACTAATTTTCACTCTTGTGGCCTGATCATGAAGCTTGCAAAGTCCATGTCATTATCAGTTTAGTTACACTATGTTCTCGGTTTATGAATCCGACCTGTCC